CCCCCCCCCCCCCCCCCCCCCCCCCCCCCCCTTAGGCTGTTGTTTTTGCTTTGAAAAAGGGGGGGGGGGGGGGGGCAGCCATAAACCCATGTGTACTGGCTGGTTCAGCAGCCAAAGGCATGTGATAGCCCTATTTATGACATCATTACTCCTATAGATAATGGTAGTTATATTACGCTGCATATAAGAGTAAAAAAATTGTAAGTTCAGTATTTTCAGTGCTTTCTTTTTCTTCCCCTTTCTTTTCATGCTGTTTCTTATTTTAGAGTGAGAGAAGAAACCAGGATTTTCAGGACCAGAATTTTAAGAGACATTGTCAACACATTATTTTAGACTGTGTCAGTTGGGGTGAGGGTTTTTCTTGCCTTTCTTGGCCTGTTAGCTGCAAGCAAACTCTGTTGTGGGTGTGGTTATTCACATCTCCAAATTGCTGATGCTTTTTTGTTTAGACATTCAGGTTTTGATGGGAAGCCTTGTGTACCTGAGACAAGGAATTGAGAACTCACCATATGTTCACCTGCTTGATGCAAACCAGTGGGCTGATATCTGTGACATCTTTACGCGGGATGCCTGTGCCCTCCTGGGGCTCTCTGTGGAGTCTCCACTCAGTGTCAGGTATGGAAATTACCCTCCCTGTTATTGAAATATGCCCTGCACTGGTCAGCTCCTCTTAACTTGTCTAGTTTTTGATGTTTAAAGCCAAGAGAACTTTGGTCTTTTTTTTTTTTCCTTTTTGTCTTTTTTCGTGACCGGCAACGGATCGCAACCCTCAGTGTCGCGCCCGTACCGGACCGGCAACGGGATCGCAACCCTCGGTGTTGCGCCCGCACCTCGCTCAGCCAGTGAGCCGCCGGTCTGTATGTGGGATCCGAACCCTCGGCGGGAGCGCCGCTGCGCTCCCAAGCGGCACACTGTAGCAGTGCGCCACCGGGCCGGCCCAGAGAACTTTGGTCTTTCTGAAGAAGAGTACAGTTGGTATTTCAAGAGATCGTCACAATTGGCAGTGACACAGTTTTAGGGCAGCAGTTCTCAGAGTGTGGTCTGTGAACTTCAGGGGGTCCTGAGAGCCTTTTCCACTGTTATTTTTGCATCATCTGCGTAAATATAAGGGTAGGTTAAAGTGCTAGAGCCTTAGCACAAGTCGGGAGTGGTACCAAACTCCACATGTACTCACTGGATTCCTCACTACTACATACTTGCCATTTAAGAAATGCTCGTTTTACTAAATGTTTTTGATGAAACATTAAAAATTATTAGATTTTTCTATCCAGCAGCCTGTGGAAAGAAAGGAAAAAAATTTTAATTTATTCGTTTTATTAATTCCTGACTTTTGAGTACACATCTTTTAAATATTTCTTGTGACAAAATAGGAAATTCACATAAAGCACTTCAGTTTCTTGTCTCCGGAAAAAGCACCTATATGTTGTTTGAGTTATGAGCTTAAACTAGTCACATTTTTCATGAAACACAGTTTTTACTTGAAAGAATCACTAACACATAAACTACTGTTATTCACACTCAGGTTTTTGGCAGTCATTTTTTAAATGAACGAAGTAAACCTGTTACGTCAAGGAAAGCAACTGACGTTATCTCTTATCTCTTAACCATGATAAGATTCAAGGTTTTAAGCTAAAATTGAAATTTTAGAAAACTGATACCCTCCACTTTGAGCTTGTCAGCTTCCTAATACTTAAGGCTATTCTGATTAGGTTGGTGGTGATATAACCAATTTTATTTTTTTAAATTTTGTATACTGGAATGAAACATTTGCAACATCTTAATTCAGTGTGATCTCACAAAATTATATATGGGTACTAGAGTCATTCTAAGTGTAAGACAGACCAAAAAATTGTAATGTAGTGGGATACAGAAAGTTCGGTGGTGCAGTTTTAGATTTCACTTTGTGACTAACCTTTAGGAAGCTGCCGCTTGTTGAATTTTGGTGTGGTATTAAAGAATATCCACAATTACCTGAAAAGTCCATTAAAGTGCTATGTGTCTGTGGAGGGCTAGATTTTTTTTCGTTTACTTCAACCAGAAGAACAAATCACAACCAACAAATGCAGAGGAAGCTGTAAGAATCCAGCTGTCCTCTGTTGAGCTAGATATTGAGAGATTTGTAAAAATGTAAAACAGTTTAGGCCGGCCCGTGGCTCACTCGGGAGAGTGCGGCGCTGGGAGCGCAGCGGCGTTCCCGCCACGGGTTCGGATCCTATATAGGGATGACCGGTGTGCTCACAGCGCTCACTGGCTGAGCGTAGTGCAGGCGACACCAAGCCAAGGGTTGCGATCCCCTTACCAGTCACAAACAAAAAAACCCAATCAACCAACCAAACAAACAAAAACCAAAAAAAAAAAAAGTAAAACAGTTCAACTCTTCTCACAAATGTGTTATCATTTTGGGAAATATAGTTATTTTTTATAAAAATGTTATTTATGATAACATAGCATGTGTACTATTTTTAAATGAAATAGTATATTTAAAATTTCTGTTTTAATTTGTGATTAAATTAAATTAAGTAATGATAGATATAACCCACAAAAAGGAACGCTCTGTGACATCCTTAATATTTAAGCATGTAAAGGGGTCCTGAAACCAAAAAGTTTAAGAATCTGTTTTAAGAAAATAATTTTTTTCATTTTATTCCCCAATTGTTTTTAATCCCTGGTATGTGCCAGGCACTGTGTGGGATACAACCATGAATAAGATATGGTCTGCGTTCCACAGAGTGTTCCATCCTAGCGTTGGAGACAGATGCATGCAAGTGCAAGGTGCTGTTGCTGTCAGGTTCTCTGGGGAACAGACATGCAGGAAATTTATTGAGATCAGCACCTGTGGGGGGAATTATAGCATCGGGATTAGGCAGAGAGAAAAGTTGGACTTGATGCAGTTGAAACAAAGTCTTCCCCCCGATCCCTGAGTCGCTCTGGGGCTGTGATGGGCCTGCAACATTGTCCCAAGTTGGGGCAGTGGGGCCGGGCTTTTGTATCCTCACGTGGAGCAGTCACTGGGTGTGACCCTGGTCAGATGGCTGTCTTCAACTGAGGACAGTCTTGAAGAAGGAGTCAGCTGAGAGTTGGCTTGCCAACACTTCCAGATCTGAGAAATTATCTTTCTTGGACAGAAGTGATCCTGGTGTAGGAGGAACCATCCAAGAAAATGTTTCAGGGGCAAGAATGTTAATGATGACTGATAAGCAGAGCCCTTTAAATCTGGTTGTTTTGTAAAATACAGAAACTTTATTTTTTGCACTAACGTCAGATTGTTATAAAATTCTCTGCAACCTTATTCTCAGTTCCTGTACTTTTTTCATTTGGGCCAAAAATGGTGTATGAACCATCAACAGTTGGCAGATCACATTTTGTGTATCACTGCGCTAGTGAGTGTATTTTGTAAGGAAAGTAAACTTAAGTATGCTAGTTTCTAGTCAGTAAAGGTAGAGAACAGGAAAGGGTGTTAGGTTTGTGCAATGTTGAGTGAAGAATCCTATGCAAAAACATCTTTCCCTTTCAGACTCAAATGCTAAAACACCATATTTGTAAGAACAGTAGTTCTTAATTCCTGTTCTTTCTTTTTCCTTCATGTAAATTAACATATTTCATACCTCTTTTAACGGTGAGTCCTCCCTTTCGACACTGGATGCCAAAGCCGCTTCCTTTTTTAATGTATAGAACTCTTTCTTTTTCTAATTATTGAGGAATTATGCACCCTACCAGATGATAGTTTTAGTTGATTTTTTTTTAAGTTATTTTTTTATTGCATTTTCCCCATATTGGTAAGGTTTATTTAGTAAATGTAGTGTTTTGTATTTTATTGTTTTAAAATGGGGGTTGTTTTTCAATTACTGTGGGAAATAAATACCAGTGTACCCGGGGATTGGGAGAGGAAGGCAAGTTATTTTTCTTCTAGTAGAAATGGAAGTTTGCTTTTAGCAGAGTTTGCTCTTAGCAGAGCAGAAGGCTCTGTGTCCTGTCCTATAGCTGGAGTCTGTGACACACGGAGGCTGGAAGACTTGACATCTCCTTGGACCAAGCAGCCTGATAGCTGGCCTGTCACTGATGGTTCCTCTTCTGCTGTCCCAGTTTCTCAGCAGGTTGTGTGGCCCTGCCAGCTTTAATTAACATCAAAGCCGTGATTGAACAGAGGCAGTGCACTGGAGTTTGGAACCAGAAAGATGAATTACCCGTGAGTTCCACTTTCTATTGGTTGTTTACTTTTCTAGCCATTAGAAGATTGTGGATGTTAAGGGTTTAAAATGCTCATCTTGCCTTTTAACCAGAAAACATTATTGTAGCCATTTGAGAGTAGTTCTTTTATGTATATGTCAGTAGAAATGAGGGACCTAGTACACTTTAGAGACACTGAAGGAGTGTTCTTAATATTTTGATGTAAAGTGGTAGTGAAAGCTGATGAGGGAAAATATGAGAAGTGGGGAGGGTTGTATATACTGTAGCATGCAGTGTGTTCTGCAGTGCAGTTCATAAACCACTCATATTATGATTTCTTTTAAATATAAAGCAGTGCATCAGTAATTGGATTTATTTTTGTCCTAAGCACTGATGTCGATGAAATCATGGGTTTGTGCTGGTTATTTTTTTCTAATACCAATTGAAATAAATACATAGCTGTTAAAATAGATGCCATCCCCATGACACCTGCAGTCATCAGTGTCTCCAGTGCTGTGTGTCTACTGCTATTGTGGAAAGGGCCATGGTTTTAAACATCAGCTCCAATCACTTGCCAACTCTGTAACTTCTCTAAGCAGTAGTTTGTTCATCTCTAAAATAGGGACCATCCTTCTCTTTATGGGGCTACTGAAAGCTAGAGAGAAGATAGGCAGGTTTAGAGTAATAGGGGACACATAATAGGTACTCAGATTGTGGCTGCCATGGTGCAGTTACAATGTGGAGTGGCAGAGGTCATTGTATGTGTGTTTCTCCCAGGCCTCTGACAGTAGGCCCTAAGACTCGTGCCTGGAGTTATCATTCCTGTCACAGTTGTGTCACAGACCCTGCAGGGCTAAAATAGGTATTTGGCTTTTTGCCTCTTTTCTGCCACACCTGTGCACAGGTTATCTGTAATTACCTTGTTCTTTCAGCTGGTAACCCTGTCAGTTGGTTGCCCCAGCCTCTCCTCAAAGATCTTTTTTGATTAAAGGCATAGGTGCATTCCCAGTCCTGAGTGTGGTCAGGACACAAGCAGCACCCCTGCTCCACTGCTGCTAACTTGAGCGAGTGAAAAGAATGGGAGCCTTTCCTTGCTTTGCTGAGGCAGGTGCCTGGCAGCTGTCAGTTTCCTGGTTATGTTGAAGCATCTTTGACACTGTACACTAGAGCAGAGTGGATTGAAACCCGAATTTGCCTAAAGTTTGTGTATCAGACTGGTAAAGCAATTGGAGGGGGTGATTTGGCCATCTTTTGTGAGGATTGTTTTACACTTTGTCATCAACTTTCTGGAAAGAGTGTGGGTAATGGACTTTGGTAGTCATTTCTTACTTAGAAGGAAAGAAAACAGAGTTCTGACATTTGTGGAGCCTCTGTCATGTGTCAACCACTCTGCTGGGTGATTTCTTAGGTTTTGGATGATTTGTTTTGTTTGTGGCAGAGAGAAACAATTGATACAAGTGCTAGGGGCATTGATGTACAGATTGCGAAAGGTCCTGCTGAACCTTAGCCTGTTTCAGGTGGTTTCTCTTGGCCATTACACATAAAAAATGAGAAACTCAGATCTGAAGCTCACATGGAAGTAAACCATAATTAGTCAACCTTTAAAGAAGTTACTACACTGAACTTTATCACCTAGCTAAGTGTGCTACAAAACAGGGTTTTGGTGGGTTTTGCTCTTAGGTATATGACAAATTTTCAAGAGTGTTTGACTTCTAGAGCATTGCCTTGTCTTTGAATCTAACTCTTAAACAGAATTTGGTTTGAAAAGTAGTGTTATAAATAATTTTGAAGACTAATTTAGCACTTTGAATCCCTGATACTATCCATCTTTGAGTTATTTAGAACAGTGCTGTAGAAAGTTACTTTCAGATTCGTAAATATGAGAAATGTTCTTTGCTGCAGTGTGTATTCACATGTGGATGGTTTTCTGAAATACAAATTTAGGCTTTTTCCTTTTTTTTTTTTTTTTAAACAGATTGAAGTGGACCTTGGTAAAAAGTGCTGGTATCACTCTATATTTGCCTGTCCTATCCTTCGTCAGCAAACAACAGATAACAACCCACCCATGAAATTGGTCTGTGGTCATATTATATCAAGAGATGCCCTGAATAAAATGTTTAATGGTAGCAAGTAAGTATCCGACTTTTTAAGTGTTAGTAAATAATTTTTTTTTTGAAGTTGGTGGGAGGATAAGCAACAATGAAGATAAATAATTGTAGCTAGATTTAGAAATAGATTTCTTAACTATTCATTTGGCAAAGTGGGTGGTATCTGATCTTTTGTCAGTCTTTAAATTTGTTCATGGATTTGGTGATTAGATTTATAAGTGTGATATTTAATTCTTAACTTTTTGAGTTGGTGGTACACCCCCTCCCCCCTTTTATACAGTGTAGTGTGCTATACACTGTTCTGCACTTTCCTTTTTTCACTTTAGTGTTTTTTGTGGATTTTTTAATATGCTGTAGAAAGAGCCCTCATTCTTTTTTTGTTAAAGCTGCAGAGTATTCACCCATATGGAAATATGATTATTTAACCAGTTCCCTACTGATAAACATTTAAGGTGTTGTTACTATAAATAGTGAAGTGAATTACCTTATCTATTATGATACATAAATTTCTAGAATTGGAATTGCTCATTGATTCAAAGGGTATATATATTTGTAATTTTTATAGACAATGAGCTCAGCTTTTGAAAAACAGTCTCAAAAGCCTATTTCTAACTTAGGCAGCTAGAAAATTTTTCATTGGAGTTCATTTCAGACCCATTATGGGAAGGTCCTTCTTTTGTGGGAAGCCCCTGGCATGTAAAGATGCTGTTTATGCCCTCCCCAGGCCATGCAGCAACCCCTGTAGTGCAGATTAGTGGTGACTAGAACCAGATAGATCATTGATCTTAGCTGAAACTGTGCTGGTTTCATGTGCTGCTACAAAGTATGTGGGCTGTACTTGGTGAAAGCTTGGCGGCTGGCACCAGATTTGCTGCGTTGAGTAGGCTATATGACCAGTACATTTGAAATTCGTTTAGAGACAGGTACAACTGAACTTCTGGAGAAGTTGGATTTACTTCTGAAACACCAAAAGCAATTTCTAGAAAAGTTGTTTTGTTTACAAAACAGTTTTCACTGATTCCCACTGAAGAAGAGGCTTTCAGTTTAGGGTCTGGCTTGGGTGGTATTTATTTGTGACCCTTCAAAGCTTGGCATTTTTTTTTTTTTTTTTGTCTTTTGTCTTTTTCCGTGTCTGGCAACGGATCGCAACCCTCAGTGTTGCCCCCGTACCGGACCGGGGACC